CCCCAAAACCCCAAAACCCCAAAACCCCTAATTTTGAGGATTTATTGAAGTTTTCATAAATTAGCCACAAGCGCTTAGGAAGGTATATCTCCAAAGTTCGAAGAATTTTGGAGATGCTTAAGAAAGTACTGAAGATCCTAGGACTTAGGAAATATTATGAAAATTTCACAACAAAAGGGTACACCTACAAACTCATTGAAACTGTGATACAGAACCAGAACTTTTATATGATTTCTGAGATTTGAAAGGAAACTAGTATTTCACTGACAGATTTTGCAAAGATCATAATTTCATTCGATTCTGAAGGAACCAAGCAGATTGGGGAAATCAGAGAAAATCTTTTTAATTTCTCTAAAACTTTGGAGACAGAAGAAGCTTCAGAGGAGGAAAGCTCAGATGAAGAGGCCCCGTGTGTGCTGAATGATCTTAAGACGTTTAATTCACAAGTAGAGATAGATAAACTTGCCATGATCATGAGATCTCAATGCAAGTTCCCTACTATGACAGACTTCAATATTTGGATGAAGGCCATTAATAAGTTAGGCTATTTCTACCAGAAAGCAATCGGGATTGATGACAAGAGCAGAATTCAGTATGAATGAGATAAGGCTCCTGCTTGAAGATCAAGAATATTACTCAAAAGGAAACCGAAGGATCGGAATGCTATTGTTATGGAAGTTGAGGAAGAGACAGAATTTGAATATGATCTTGAGTTATTCAAAAGTTTTCACTCTCATCCACCAATAGAGCAAAATTCTAAGGTTATTCTACCTAGTAACATAGATAAGCCTGAGATACGGGAAAGTATTAAAAAGAATAACTGCAACCTAGATTTGACAAAAGATGTATCTTGTGATAGAATTTTTAATCCGAAGGAAAAACAGCCAGAAGAGGACAAACAGAATGATGATAAGTTTTGAACCAGGGAAGAAATGATTGCTATCAAGACAATTTTGAAAAACCCAAAGATGCACTTTTTAATTACTGAAATGATGGCAAATAGTAATTGCCTCAAGTACATTCACAAGAAAGTCCAGAGGTATGCAGAGAGGTTTAACTTGCCAGCAATAAGACTGCCTTTTGGAGCTTTTGAGATGGAATTTCATAAGCATTACACTTATCATAATGAGCCAACATCTTTCATGTTCACACATGGGCCAGTATCGAGTGCTAGGAAACCTGATAAGACCAATTATCTTCAAGATGTGATGGAGTTAGACATGCCAAAGGAAAGTGCTTATACTCTGTCTAATGATGATACTTGCAAACAGTTAAGACTGATGTTTCCTAAATCGGTATTGCTAACTTCTTCTCCTGATCAGACAAACCTTCTATTCCTGTTCAAGCCAGTATTGCCCACTAATGTTGTATGCATACATTGTGGATATAAATTGAATAATCCTGATCTATCTTTAACCATAATTTGGACTGTCTCCAGCAACGGTCACTGAGCTATACTAGGCGGAGTAATCTCTATTGGCAAAGAGAATGATTTCAATTGGGTAGCTAAAGCTGTAAAAGGACTTGGAGGAGCAGATTGGGATATTGTAGTGATAGGAGGATACTCAGATCCTGCTAAGTACTTTAAATCCTACCTTCTATCAACTTGGCACCTATATCTTGAACTTTTCAACCAGTTCAAAGGTGAAAAACACAACTCTAACAAAATCTACGAGAGTTTTAGTGACCTCGTCAACCTGAAAAGAAAGGAAGAATTTGAGGATTCATGGGCTGAATTCACGAAACTATTCATCGGACTTGAAGAATCCCAAGCTGAGTTTTTAGACAAACTTAAAAGCCAAAAGGAGCTCTGGTGAAGCTGTTTTACAGACACTAAGCAACTTTTTATGCATGATTCTTTGGAAAGAAACAGGTACCTGTTCGATATTGTAACTAAATCCCTGCATAAATTTAAGTCTGAGAAAATGTCCCAAGTTATTCAAGCTATTAGGCTTGTTAAAGTAATTCCATACTTCTGAGAGGACGATGATATTGATGAGAAAATTTCGAGGTCTCATAAGAGAGCTCATTACAACAAGCTCAAGAATCAACTGAATGAGGAGTATTGAGAGTATATAGTTAGCAAAGTCATGAAAGCAATTTATGAGTGAGATAACTATATTCTTACCTATCCAGATAGTAATCAAAAGAAATATCAGGTTTACGACGCAAACAGAAATGAGTTTACAGTAACTTATCCTGAAGGAAAATGATGCTGTAAGGTACCTCTGACTCAAGGGATCCCATGCTCTCATTTAATTAAGGTCATTCTTGATAAAAGTGGGAATACAGTAGAGATACTTGATAGTTTCATAGAAGATAGATGGAGAAAACATGACGGACTCACAGTCTGAATCCCTGAGAAATCAATTGAGGATCTTCTTCTTGAAACTGCCCCTACAATTCCTCTCCAAAACGTTGGTGCTCCAACAAGATTCAGCAAATACGTGTATAAAAAGCGTTACAGGAAAGAGAAATTCAAGAAGCACAAGTCTAGAAAATTCCGTGAAGCACCAGATGCAGATATAACCTCATACTCCAACATTTTCCCAAAGAAGAACCTTGAATACACAAACAGACGTCGTAAGGAGATGTCCTCCATCGTCCCTGAAAAGCCTGGCCAGGTAATCTTCACCAGTAACATGTTCGACTAAACTCCCTTAAAAATCTAAATTTAAACTAAAAATCCAAAAAGGGGTTTTGGGGTTTTGGGGTTTTGGGG